ATCTAGATAGGAGCCGGTGCAGAGGGTGTGTAGGAGGCTGGGGCCCTGATGCCTTCTCAGCTCCTCTTCGTCGTGGTGGACGAAGCACAGCATGTCCCCCACCAGCTGCTCTCTCATGCATGTACACTCCAGCTCCACGCGGATGCGGAAGCTCCTCTCTGGCATCTCCCCCGGATTGCAGGGCTCCGGGAGAAAGGTGTGGCCAGGTGGGGGGGCCAGGGGCACAAGCACTTCATAGACAATGTCTTCTTCACAGGGACTCCAGCCTTCGTGTGTGCTGCCTATGCCAAAGCATGGTTCCAGCACTGGGAAGGAGCTCTCTGACAAGACTTGTCTGGCAGCAAGGATAAAAGCATTCACAAGGTTCCTCACAGATTCGCACTCTGTGAACAGGTTCTGATCAGGCCATTGTATGTGCTCCTCAAAATGCCTTGCCAGGTCATTTGCATATTCACTGACTTCTTCCTCTTCGTTCTCCTCCTCCCACTCTTCCTCTTCTCTACTGCTGCTGCTGGAGCTGTACTCTTCACTGCTGCTGTCCTCTTCACTGCTGCTGTCCTCTTCACTGCTGCTGTCCTCTTCACTGCTGCTGCCCTCTTCATGGCTTCTTCTCCTGAGGCACCAGCAGAGCCCAAGAATGAGGAGGAGCAGGATGCCAGCAACAGCCCAGAATTGCCAGTGCTGCAAGGCAGCAAAGAGCACGCCTCTCAAGGCCACGGGAGTTTGCTCCTTGCTCCTCTGCCACTGGCTCTTGTGCTCCAGCTCCTGCAGCAGCTGAGCCATCGCCCAGCTCAGCTGCTTGTCACGGTGCTCCATGCGGTCACGTGTGGCTTCATCCAGCTCATCATTGACGAAACGCACATTCAGGATGAGCTGTTGCAGAACCCAGTGTAAGAGGTTTGTGACAGCCATGGCCTGCAGAAGAGAGAAAGAATTCAGTGGGGCTGGGAGGGAGGGAAGGAGGAAGGGAGCTGGTGGCAGGGGGCAGTGGATGCAGGAGCTGCAGGGAGCTGGGGACAGGCAGGAGAGGGAACGAGGCAGCTGGGAGGCAGCAAGGCCTGTGCGAGGCCCGGTGCCAGCAGCAGTGTGCCCTGCCCATGCGCTTGCAGCCAGTGCCTCGATGCAGGGTGAGCACCCACCCCCAGGGGGCCAGGTTTCTGCCCTGGCCCTTGTCCAGCCCAGCCTCCCCCCTGCATGCACACTCACTGCTGTCCCAGGCCGTACTGGGCCAGTGCTGCCTGCTGGCACCCTCATAACCATCCCCCATTGTGACTTGTCCCCTGTGATGTCACAGGCGCTGGGGGCGCATCATTCCTTCGCACCCAGCCCAGTTCAGTGACTCACAGCTGCCCTCGTGCTCTGGTTATAGCTTGGCAGCAGTCAACTTTGTTCAGAGAAGCTTGCATGGTGCTGTATTTTGTAATAAATATATTCTACCTGCCAATGGAAATATCATCATCATCGAATATCCTGAGTTAGAAGATGTCTGAGTAGCCTAGCTGTACGCCAAACATCATCTCAACGAGCATGGCTCTCCAAGAGACATCTGTGGTCTGCACTTTGCAAGAGCAGCTGGAGGGCAGCCCATTTATGCTGCAGCAGTGTAGGAGAGGCACCAACATCCTTCTGTGACCTTTTCTAGACACTCTTTGCCATGCCTGGTTTTGTCTGTCTTTAAAGCTATGGTTATCTTGAAGTGCTTAGTCTCATATTCATTGATTTTATAATTGGACGACATAGAACAATGGGAGATTTACTAGTTTATTAAGAACCAAAATTAATGTAATGCATATCACTCTTTGTTGAAAGCCACCTACAAAAGAATTGCATGAGGGTGTGGAATGAATAATCTTTCTTGTTTTTCTCCTCTTGAAATCACTATAGTGCCTTTCCAGAGCACAATAAACGGCAGTATGTTATGGAAAACTAGTACAAGTCTTACCAGGTAAATAAGTTCAGTAGATTTTGGGGCACTGGCACAGTTTATTTCTGTCAAATATTTTCACAGAGGAATCCTTTATTTGAAGTGATCTTTGTGGTCCAGACTTGAAAAAGAAAGTCTTAAAATCAACAACCTAGTTCTTGTTCTACAGGCAACAATACGGTCATTAAACCCAAACTCATTTGTTTTTTTCATACCATTAAAGACAGGCTTGTGCATGAAGCAATGTTTCTAAGGCGGGAAACTAAAATTTATACCAGAAAAGGTAGGGCAGTTCAGCACCAGGAAATAAACCAGACAGAATTAGCTCACTTTACAAGATCTAAATCACGCTCCACACTAGTCTCATTAGTCCTTTAAAGACCAACTGAATGATTAATGCTGAGCAGGAGTCAAATCTTCAAGGATAAGAGCAATGAAAAAAATTGAGGTCTCCCAAGCAAACCTAATTTCCTGGTTGGGAGGAGACCAAGTCTTTCTCTGTGGAGCCTTGGCCTTGGTGAAAGCAGCTCCTGAGCTGCAGGCCTGGGTTGCAGCAAGACAAGGCTTTCTCAAAACAGCCCTGTCCTCACGCTCGCCTGGCTCCGGGAACTGCTGCCCCACATGCTGGGACTGGGCTCTGACCCCCTGGGCAGGCTGCCCCCTGTCTGGGACAGGCCGGATCCCGAGGCCCAAGAGCACCAGCACAGCCCGCAGCAGGATGCCCAGCGCTATGAAATTCACACATCCCGTGTCGGACGTGATGATGGCAGAGTCCTGCAGCTGAAACAGGCTGAGCGGTGCCATGGCTGCTGCGGTGCTCAACAGACAGCGGGAGTCTGACCTGTGGGGAGGAGAGACAACGGGCACCTGCAGCACCGCACCTGCAGCAGCCACTGAGCCCGCCTTGCCCCTGCCCGCTCCTTATTGGCCACCGCCCACCGCTCCTCGACGCCCATTGGCCGAGCCCATTGTCCGTGCTCACAGAGGCCGCGGCTCTAGCCAGCGGTGTGCCCCGTTACCAGGCGACGCCCCGTTGCCAGGTGGCTGTTGCTTTCCCGCAGCTCCAGCGCATCGCCTCGTGTCCCGGGCACACCGGGAGACGCACGGAGCCTCTGTTCCCTTTCCTGGGAATCGCCGTTCCGTTTCCATCCGCAGCCTTTGGCTTTCCTGGCAGCTTTCTTCCTCTTTGTGTAAACGAAACGCGCTGGCAATGCAAAGGCAAAGCCCACAGTGACAAGATTTGCTTTACACCTCTAAGATTACACGAGGTGGCTCCTACTTTATGCTGCCACCCCTGTTTACGTGATGTCTATTTTATATTACTTAGCCAAATCATAACGTACAAATACAAAAGCTGTCCTTTTCCAAACCCCTTTCCTTATGGAGAGAGCTTGGATTCAAACAGCCCGTCTTCATTCATTCTCATGACCTTGGCATGTCAATTGATTTGGAGAACACTCCAGGAACAAACTTGCCAACAAAGTTTTCAAGCTGTCAAGCAGGTATTCTTTATTGCGGCGCTGGGAGACACGGGGGATAACTCCTCCTAACGTGTGTCCCCGTATTGCTATACAAGCCACCCTTATATAGTCCCTGGGCATACATACATATTCATGAGGCTACGTATGGATTACATCATTTTCCAGAGAGTTCCCCGCATGCGTACAGAATTGTGGTGCTGGTCTCTGAGGGTCGGTTACTTCTTCCAACAATCTTCATCACTTCTGGCAGCCTTCGAAGCACGCGCAGTAGATGCTCATACCAGTTTAATTGGTTCGTTAGCACCAGAGACATAATAATCCTCCTATCCTCCTACTTATCAGTTAGTTTAACTGTAGCCCATCCTGGACACCTGCGGTTCCCAGATACCCCTTATCCCTGTGTCCTGTTCTTCTAGACTGTTTTTCTTAAAACTAGGCCAACTATAATGATTTATCTTGTGAGAATTCTCAGTATGTTCTCTAGCTGTACTCTATTTTTTTTTCTCTATGTATCATGCACCTCAGTAATTTTCCATTGCTACTGTTACAAAGCCATCAAACTTAACATTACTTAAAACTACTTATAAAGGTTTCTATATCCCATTTTGTGATTTTGTGCCCCTTTGTCTCAAATTCCCCCCTTTTTCTGTCCTTTTGCAAATTCTTTTGCAACATTTTATATATTACCATTACCATCAAAAGTCTTTTTGAAATAATTTCCTGTTTCTACCTGGTGCTTAGTTTCATTCCGTTTCCAATCTTCATAATTTATCATAGACCGTTTACAACACCAGAGGGAACATTGTATCATACCACAAGTAATCAATATTAAAATAATTAACACCAATATTCCTGCAACCAGTTGCCTCAACCAGGAGAGATTGGGTAACCATGAAGTTAACTTTTTCCATGTTTCTTCAAAACCCCAGGAGGTGTCATCCATGGCCATTTCATGAAATATCTTAGTTTGTTTCCAAATTCCTCCAGATCTGTTTCAATTCCGCCACTTTAGTCTGTATAGGAACACCAACTTTCATTGATTATGGAAGAAACCCCTCTTTGTGATGCCAATAACATGTCTACAGCCATTCGATTTTGTAATATCACCTTAGATAGGCTAGTTATCTCTTGTTGTTCTGCCTGGATTATATCAATGTTTTTACTTTCCATTTCCTCTATGGTTGCCGAGATATTTACAATTGCCTTCTCTAATTCACTTACTGCCAAAGATGGAATTAGCCCTTTTATAAAACTATGAAATGAGTTGTGCCGTTCAATCATAGGGTTAAACCCTCACTTAATTCGTTTAGCAAAACTTCTAATCCAGGTCCCGGAAGGGTACCTGTTGATAATAGCAAAATTGGGTATTACAGCACCTAAGGTGCATGCCCCCTTCCAGTTGGGGGGGTAGAATCTTATAAGCATTTTTTCCACATAACCCATACCATCCTTTCCCTTTACGAACGGGCCACCACTGAACTATAATACCATCTATAGTAATAGTATCATTGCAATTTGAATGGTGACCTACATCTGTGGCATTTAACCAAGCAAAATTTCTTACCCTGGTTTCTGATGTAATACATCTTTGTGCACAGGTATAATATTTATTACCTGGGTTAGGATTAACTATTCCAAATGTTAACCTTTCCTTCGAATACAGATTGCTAGTGTTCACCCACAAATTTATCCATGAGACAGTGTTAGGTATTGGAACTCCAATTAATGGGAGATCCAGGCTTTCTCCTGATTTAGGCAACTGTGCACACACCCAACAGTCACTATGATTAAAACATTAGTAACATTCTGCACTAATTTTAGGTATAAATTCTGGTCCCAAGCTTGTGCGCCAGTTATCATATGAGTCCAAATTATGATCGGCGCAGTTTCATATGCAAGGGTACTGAAGGTTCGATCCACCCTGTCTTCTCTGGCTCTGGTGCTTGCTTTATTCTTGAATAATGTATCCAAGCAGGTTGTTCCTTTATCTTCACTGCTGTAAAGGTGATCAACAATATCTGGTACGGTCTGCTCCACTTCTCCTGTAGAGGATCTCCTGAAAAGTTCTTAACATAAACCCAGTTTCCAGACCTGAAAGGGTGAATTGGATAATCCAAACCTCTGGCTCTGGTCCCCACTATTCTCTTATTTATCTCCTCCAACTGTTTTCCCAGATTGATCAGAAACTGTCGGAGATAGCCTTCCCCCACTTCCTGAAGACTCTCTCCTTTAAACTGGGACTGATACGGTCTTTCATACAAAATCTCAAATGGGCTAACCTCTTCTTTTGACTGGGTTTTAGTTCGAATTCTTAATAGAGCCAGTGGTAATGCCTGGTACCAATATAAATTCGTTTCCTGACATATTTTACTAATTTGTTGTTTAATCAGATGGTTCATCTTTTCTACTTGCCCACTGGCCTGAGGCCTATGTGGGACATGTAGTTGCCAATCAGTTTCTAATTTTTTGCTAATTTCTTGCAACAATTTTGCACTAAAGTGCGAGCCCCGGTCAGAAGAAATTGCCTCTGGTACCCCAAAACGAGCTTATTATTTGTTAAATAATATTTTAATCACTTGTTTTGCATTATTTATTCTATAAGGGAATGCTTCTGGCCAGCCTGAAAAAGTATCCATTAACACCAATAAATATCGATAACCCCCCCTTTTTTTTTTTTTGGTAATTCAGAAAAATCTATTTGCCACTGCTGTCCGGATAACTTCCTCTCCCAGTTGTCCCAGTTTGATTTCTATTTTCAGTCTTAGGATTATTCTTAAGACATAGCTGACATTGTTTTGTCACTAATTT